TGCAGGTCCACATGCAGGCAAAATACCCATATATATAAAATGACAAACAATAATAAAAAAACAATAATTAGTAGTAGTACACAAAGAGGAGGAGGAAAGCTGGGGTCCTGGCACCTAGAGGGTCAGTAGTGGCCCCATTCATCAGCCAAATGGCTGAGTCCAGGTAGGCCTTCCCACGAAGCACTGCCAGGCTGGGCCCGGCAGCCACACCTGCCTGGCTCCACAGCCTCCTGTTCCTGAAAAGTGGAACAAAGTCCCTCAAGAAGGCTGCTGGGCATCCAGAAGTAACTCAGCTGTAGGGCATCGGGACTGTCCTTGCAAGAGGCTGCAAAGTGACTAACTTCTCAGCCTAGGCTGGGCCTGCTTTAGGGCCTCTGACAGTCCTGGTGACCCTTGAGTCTGAACTCTTCCCGTTAAAGCCACGCCTGGACCTCAGGCAAAGGCAAAGGTGTGAAGGAGAAGCGTAAACCCAAGAATCACAAAGTCCCCAGGAGGAGGAGGGGAGGTGACTCAGATGCAGAGGGGAAGTGGGTGGAAAAGAAGAAGGGGCCCATTGTTGGGAATCTCCCCTCCCTGGGGTGTGAGGCACCCCAACCCTCACCAAGCTAGGCTCGGCTTCTACAAACAAGGACCAGACCTTCACCCCCTAGCCTCCTGGATCTAATCATGCAAGCAGCACTCAGGACCTGGGCCAAGTGACTTAACCTCTTCGAGCCCGGAGGACTAAAGTAACACAGGTGAGTTCCCCTGGGACTCTCTCTAGTAAGGACTGGGCCCAGGGACATCTTAAGCTCCACCCACAGGCAGCTGTGGGGCCCTGAGGCTGCAGTCTTTCCTCCTGGTAGAAATACAGAAGGCTTCCTTTCATCACTGGCTCTGTGGGCCCACAGGAGACCTCCCAAAGGTCTCTGTGGGATCTACAAGGCCTTTGGCTGGAACTTGCATACACAAAAACTAGATAGCTGTTGGGTGACAGGCAACAACCTTGTTTTCTAAGATGTCCATGACCTTAACAGTCCCCAGGCTGCTCCTGTGACAGTTCTGTTTTTCCAGCGAGGTCCTATGGGCCCAGGAGAAAAAGAGACTCAAAAACTGAAGACCCCGCCCAGAGAGACCCAGCTGGGTGGCAAGGACCTGTGTCCCAGTTCTGTGTCACTCCAAAGGCTGCTGCTTGTGTTTCCCCTTTCTTCTGCCACCTGCCTTCCACGTAATTAAGTGATAATGAATTCATTTCTCTATTTTTGTTATTTATCAAAGCAATATGTGGCTGTCAATCAGAGCGGCTGTTGGGCAAGAGGAAAGTAGCTATGGGGTAGAATCCCTGTCATTCTGGCCCAGAGCAGAGGACTGTTGCCAGACTAACAGCCTGGCAACTCTGTTGGGGGGAATCGGAGGCAGCCAGAGGCTCATTCTGAGCTACTTCAGTGTCAGCACTGATGACCGCCACCAGGGCCAGGGCATATGCTGAACTTGGGACGATGATGAGAATAACTTAGTAAGTACTGATTCTATGCCAAGTACTAAGGTTAAGCTACACCAGGAGAAAAGAGGCTCAGAAAGGGTTAAGCAGTGTGCTCTAGGTCCAAAAGGACCACAGCCACCTAGGGCGGCAGACTGTCAACCAGGAAGGGAAGACCGAGAAGGGCAGGTGGCCCCAGGAGCTTGTGGTGAAAAGGAAAGAGAAGCTAGCTGGCCTGATGCAAGGGGTCATGAGATCCAAAGTGGGCGGGGAGGAGGCTGGGCAGAGGCGTAGGGCCAGTGTCAGGCCAGGCAGGACAAGGGGCTAGGGCACCTTCCTCAGATTCCACAGCAGATCCACAATTACATGGCTGCCTACCTTCCAGGCAGGTGTTGGCTTACAGAACCTTCCAGAGCTCTTCCGGGGCAGTAGTCCGCCCAGGGGCAGCCATCCCTGAAATTCTGTATGTCTGTCCCATGTCTTTTTGCCTTGGAAGGTTCTAGAAACAACTCTGCTGGATGAGCAGAGAGAGGGAGGAGGCCGTGGTGAGAGAGCATGGACATAGCCTGGCGCTACCAGGAGGAGGGGGTGCAGGCTCTGAAATGTAAGGCCTCTACGCCCCAGAGCAGGCGAAACCCAGCAAGTGTCACTCCCAGGCCCTAATTTCAGAAAAACCCATGATCCTGAGCAGGTCACTTCTCCCTTCTGGGTCTCAGTTTTCCTGTCTGTAAAATGGGGAGAAGGACTGGAGTCGGCTGGCAGAGCCAGCTGTTTCCTCCCATTCTCCCTCCTACTGCTGTCCTCAGGCGGCTTCTGCTCGTCCATGCCGAATGGGCGGATTGGAAGACTGCACAGTAGTTCTGAAGAACATATGTGCTCAAGATCCCTTAGAAATAAGGCCAGAACATAAGTGCCCCCAGGAGTCATCACACACAGCTGTTCTAGCACAGGGGTAGACTGAGGTCTGGTGCTGACAAGCAGATGGGGGGAAAGCCCAGCCTACTCACTGTGGCTGCCAAGGAAAAGCTGGCTCCACTTTCCAGGGGCACTGACCGGCTCCTCTCCACCCTGCCCCTGCTCACAACAGAGCCTTGGCTGGCATCGGGGACCTGCTGGGCCACAGGAGGCAGCAGCCACTTGCACAGAGGAAGCAGAATACACATCTTGTGCTCTGAGAGGCCATTTGTGGCTGTTCCCAGCCATGACTCGGCTGGGCTGGGCTCCCGGGCACAGTGAGGCCTTGTTTCCCTGAATACAACATCAGCAGCTTTGTGCCCCAGCCAGGGACCCTGGCGGGTGGCACTTCCTTTCCTTGAGGTCCAGCTTTCTGGGCCCTTCCTGCCCTGCCACCCCTCCCAACACCCCCAGCAGGCAGTGCTAGCGCCAAGAAGTAGCTCTGGGGAGCTCGGCATCCTCTAATCTCCGAAAAAAGCACCTCTCCATTAAACTGGTTCCCCCCCAAATCAAAGCAGTCTCTCCCAAGCTTGCTCTTTGGGGGTATCTGGGTTCCCCAAAACACCTCCATGGTTTGAGGGAAAAGAATACTACAGAACATAAGAGATGGGCGACTTGAGGAGAAAGGTAAAATGGGCTGGTGGTAGATGCAGGGGGGAAGGAAGGTCAGCCGCACACACGGAGAGGGGTGTTGGGATGTGTTTCAAGACACTGCCGCCAGGTATCTGTGAGAGAAAGCTCTGAAGGGAAGACAGCGGCTTTTGGAGCCACCGGTCTGAGATGGAATCCCATTGCTGTCATTCTGTAGCTGTAAAGTCTTCGCAAGTATTAACTTTATTAGTCTGTGGCTGCGCTCCCTCTGCGCAAGGGCGATGGAACCATCCCGGGCTGTGGGGCTGGCAGGAGGCAGGTATGAGCGATACGGCCTCATACCTCCGCCCTATTGCTGCAGGGATCTATGACACATCTGAATACCCTCTGGATTATCCCACAGGGCAGCGCTGGCTGGAAGTCACAGCCGCCCTAAGTTTCAAAAAGCAAGGAATGTGGATTCCTGCACTCCTGGCCTGGTCAGTCAGTGAAGACTGAAGCCAGAGGGTGAATTATCGCAACATGATGGAGTTATCAACAGCATGGGGTTACCAATCCCCTCTTCCCCTATGTGGGGGTGGAGGAAAGTAGGAAGTGGGAAGAGCCTCTCTGAGCCCTGGATGGAGGAAGTGAGCCCTTCCTGGGCTTCCTGGTTGGTGCCTGGGCACTCTCAGCCGGGTGTGGGCTCTCAACCCTTTACCTGCCAACTGTTTTTCATTTGGGACTCCCTGTGTGCCCCACCCAAAACTCAGCCTCAGTAGGTTCTGCGCCATCTGGAATGCACTCCAGCCTAGCATCCCCGAAGGACTGTTTCCTTTTCAAGAACCATGGGTGAAGTGATAGGAAGTAGGGGTGACGGTCCTATAGAGGGGCACCTGCACCATCCCTACCCCCGTGGGTACTCTGCCTCCTCCTCCATATTGCTTGTGGAATGGCTGGGCCCACAGGTCTAGGGGAACATCCTAACCAGGTGAGAGTACAGCTTGGAATCATAGCAACTAAAGGGGTTCCTAGGCAGGGCACACATCAAGGGGGCCCCTTTCTGCCCGGAAAGAGTGCAGGCTCCGGGACTGTGGCTGGAACAAGGCTGCTTTCTTACAGAAGGCAGGAGAGTCCCCGCCGCACAGCCGCTGAGTGAAGGGGTGGGGTGTGGGTCCCACGGAGGTGGGGGCACAGTGTTCGGAAGAGGGCTAAGCCCCGAGGGAACTCTGCCCCGATGATGGCCCTGATGACAGCGGGGAGTTTCATGTCTGTAGACTGGGGGACCAGGACAGAGGAGCCCTTCTCTAGCAAGACCACACAATATTAAGGACATGGGACGTGGCCAACCGGGTGGGTGGGTGGAGTGGAAAGGGCTGAAGAGTTTTCGCCCACAGAAAGTAAACACTGAATAACTGGTGTGTGTGTGTGTGTGGGGGGGGGGGGGTTCCAACCTAGAACTGAAGGGATCAGAGCTAAGCAGAAGAAATTAAAGGACCCTAATAAAAGGCGTATGTCTGGCATGGGTGCCGGGAATGTCCCCCGCCCCTTGAGAGGCACTAGGGGTGCCTTACTGCAGTAGAGGTAGGGAAGTCCAGCAGCCGGGCTGGGAGAGGACAGGAAGCCACCGGCCTTTTCTCGGCATGTGTGTGGGGGTGTAGGCTGGTAACATTAACAGCGTTGGGGGGTTGGTACCCTATGTGGTGGTGGGGACTCACTGAGGACCTGCGATTATCTGGAAGGAACCTCGGGTGCCCCCAAGCCGTGTGGGGTATCCCGAGGGCAGCAACAGCAGGAGGAGGGGTCAGTCACGTGCTAGGACCAGAAAAGGGGGTCCCCAGATCCACTTGAACGCTGGGGGTGGTGGGTCTGGAAGCCTCGTGGCCCTCTGGAAGGGGCAGCAGAGTTCCCTGCCCTGGTGAGTCGGCGTCCTGGAGGAGCCTGGCTGAGGATATTGGGGGTTCAGGCCCGAGGCCAGGTCTAGGGTGCTGAGGAATCGGGCGCGAGGGGCACTCACTGTTTGAACATCTTCTCCATGTCTTTGATCTGCTTCCTGGAGAACTCCTTGAACTCGGTGTAAGGGTTGAAGACGCGGCGGCTGGGCGACTGCGGCTCGCCGATGCCCTGGTTGAGGTCCGCGCGCCGCAGCAGCTTGGCGCTCAGCTCGTCGTCCGCGCTGCCCAACGCCTGGGCAGTCTCGTCGGGAGCCCCGGCTGCCGCCGCCGCCGCCCCGTTGAGCCCCGGCTGGTCAGTCGCCTCGCCGCCTTCGCCCTCCATCTGCAGCCTCCGGCTCAGCTTGCTGGCCAGCTCGTCCGTGGCCATGGTGGCCCGCGCGCCGTTGCCTCGGCCGGGCCCCTGCTCCGCGCCGCGCACCCGGCCGCGCTCTTCCTCTTCCTGACACTCCCCACCGCCAGGCACCGCCCCGAAGGTGGGACTTAGGGAACCGCCCGCCCCCGGGCCCGCTGCGGCCGCCTGCGCCGCCCGCCGTTTCTTCTCGGTCCCCGGGGAGGGGGTCAAGCGCATCCTGAGCCCTATATCTTCATCATCACCCCGTCTCCACCCTCCCCAGTGAAAAACCGTCAACATCCCTCTGATGATCTCTTGGGGACGGGGGACGACTGCTGAGTCCTGGGAGCCCTCTGGAAGGCTGGGGAGGGGGGTGTTTCAGCCCTGAGGAAGGGAAGAGGGTCCTCTTGCTGGAGGTGGTTGTGTGTTCAGGGACTGGAGAGGGGCGCGGCCCCCAGCCCCTTCAATAAGGGGTTTGTGTCTCTGACACCCTGTCGGTTGCCATGGAGACCACTGGTAGTGAAACACCGGGTGTTCTTGGTAAGGTTGCAGGAGCCTGGAGAAGGTGGACCGTGGCGCCGGAGTCCAGTTGAGATTGGCCCCAGGGCCATAGCGGCTGGCATCTTTCAAGCGTGGGGCAGCGGCTGTGAGGGAGATGGCACCCTACCCTAGTCCTCAAAGGTCCCCCCAAAAATTGGGAAAGGGGAAGGGGCTTGTCTTGTTATGCAATGATTCAGCACAATAGCTGTTTGGTCTGGTTGGTGCCTGGAATGCTCCACCTTATAGGGATTTCAGGGAGATCTTGATGTAGCCTCTTTGAAGGGGGATCCCAGAGGAGCGACCTCCTCCCCAAAGGCTCAGGAATCGGGGGCTGGAAATGGGGAGTTCAGAGAAGATTTGTCTCTGTCATCTAGTCTATCACTTCGAAAACCCCAAAGCTGGGCAGGGGAGAAGGCGCGGTTATTGCTGAGGACTGAAGATCCGTTCCCAGCATTCACGTAGGGATGGCAGTAGGGCATGACAAGTCACATAGGCCTGTGACTTCCGCTTCAGGAGACCCAAGACCCTCTCCTGGCCTCCTTATACACCCGCACTCACATGCACACACCCCTCCCCCACATACACATCATTAAAAATAAAGTGAATCTTTGAGCAGGGCGTGGTGGTGTAGCCTTTGGTCCCAACACTCAGGAAGCAGGGGCTGGCCAGTCTCTGTGAGTTCCAAGTCAGCCTGGTCTACACCAGGAGTTCCAGGCCAGCTAGGGCTCTATAGTGAGATCTTGCCTCAATAAACAAACAAATAAACAAACTCTTAAAACTGTAATGCTGTGGTGCTCCGGCATCAGCAGCAGGGGAACTAGCTGTAATACTGATTCCCAGGCCCCACCTAGACTGACAGACCTACCCTTTAACACTAGGGTCCAAAAAGCTGCTATTCACAAGCCCCCCGGGGGAAGCATTTCTCTCTGCAGTGGAGAGCCTCTGGCACAGATGGGTGTGTATTCTCTAAGGTGTTAGGACAAAGCTGGGCCGGAGAAACTGCCCACTCCCAGAGGCAAGGTACAGAGAAAACGTGAGGAAGGCAGGCTAAAGAGTGATGCTGTGGAAAAGGGGGCACTGAAAAGGCCGCCTTAGGATAACTCGCAGGGCGAGGCATCCGAGCAGTATTTGTTGACGTGTTCAAAAACCTTGCTAAAAGGTATCTGGAGGAGTAAAATGGATGCCAGAAGAAATTTGTAGTTTTGATAATGCGTAAATTTGATCACTGTTTGTGAGATTGTTAAGTCTAGGAAAGATGCCTAATAAAGCTCAAGTGATTTTGATGTGGTATTGGATGGTTCAGTCCAGCTGCTTGTAAAAGGACCAAAGGGAAGGAACATAGTTTACTTATTTAATAGGAGCAAAAGACAGGGAATGGAGGGGGAGGACAAAGATTTGAACATTTAAATTACATCTACACATGCCTAGGTTTGTCTAGACTGTCTTTGGAAAGTGTGGAGATGACTTTCAAAACCCTGGTGAGCCTCAGTTTACCCAAGATTATGACTTTTATTTTAGATAGATTTTTGTGTAGCTCAGGCTAGCCTCGACCTCCCCGTGTGGCTGAGGATGGTGTGCTCATTATCTTTCAGCTTCCTAAGTGCTGGGAGGATTTTGAAAGATGTGCATCTTCAGGGCTTGGAGCATCCCAGGCCAAGCCTTTCCCACCCAATCTGCAGCCCCAGCCCCATTTCATGCTTCGTTTTGTTTATGAGAAAGAGTCAAGAGTCTCACTTTTGTTTTGTTTTGGTTTGGTTTTTGTTTTCCAAGACAGGGTTTCTCTGTGTAGCGTTGGCTGTCCTAGACTCACTTTATAGACCAGGCTGGCCTCTAACTAACTCACAGCGATCCGCCTGCCACTGCCTCCCGAGTGCTGGGATTAGAGTCTCACTTTTGAGTTCAAGGACTTGACCTTGTTATGTGGGCTGGGCAGACCTGAAGCACAGATTGTCCTGCTTCAGCCTTCCAGTGCTGTGATCTCCGATGTCTGCTACACTCTCAGTGAACCTGTGCCATCTAATAGTTCGGCAGGACACAGAAGTATCCTAATTACGCTTCTGTGAGGAGACTGTGTGAAGGGTCTGCCGTCTTGATAAAAACAACGCATATGGGATAAATCTGAGGTTCCAGTTTGAATTCTTCGGGGGATGTGTGTGCGCTGACTCTAGTTAGCACTGCACTTAGCTGGCACAGGTAAAGTCCCTGTGAAGGAGTCTGGACACCCTGAAGCACGGGGATAGCGATCTCTCTCCTATGTGTGGCCTCTCAAGAAGGAGATGCTCACTGAAGCCTTGATGCGTCAGCTCAGGCTGGGGCGTGTGTACTTGTGCGTGTGTGTGTGTGTGTGTGTGTGTGTGTGTGTGTGTGTGCTCGAGTGTAGTTGAATCAGTGGAGGTCAGAGGACAATCCTTAGGGGTTGGTCCTCTCTTTTCATGGTTCTTAGGGATTATACTCAGCTGAGCCCTTTTACCTGCTGAACTATCTCAGATGTTTGGGGTTTTCTTAAAAACAAAACAAACAAACGAAAGACTCAGTCTGTAACCCAGACTGGCCCAGAACTCCCGAGATAGTTCAGGCTGGCCTATAACTCCCAGTAATCCTCCAGTTTCAGTTCCCTGAGGACTGAGATTAAGGCATCACCCATTATACCCAGCTCTATAGAAAACTCTTGGGTTACCTATCTCCTGTGTGTGTGTGTGTGTGTGTGTGTGTGTGCAGGTACATATGAAGGCCAGAGGCTGTTTCTCAGGCTCTGTTCTCCTTGTTTTTTTGAGACAGGGTTTCTCACTGGCCTGGAGATTTCAGAGTAGACTCTTTACAAGAGTGTTGGGGCTTGGACTCAGGCCCTCATCCTTGTAGGACAAGCACCTGACTGACCTATCTCCCAGTCCTAGGGGAACTTCCTCATGTTTCTCAGGGTTTGCAGACCGTGAGGCCCTGAGACACGGGAGGCAGGTGCTTGCTGCCCTGCCTGAGGTCACTGGATTTCAGGGAACCTTTTTTTTTTTTTTTTTTTTCTTTTAGAGAAGCGAAGGCGATGGATGGGCTCCGACTGGAGACAGAACTTCCAGGAAATAGCAGTTGGCTCTTTATTAGGAGAGTCACTTCACAATGACCACAAGTTCTGGCAGTGAGCACGGATGCTGGCAACAGGACACATCTATTCTGGTGACACATTCCAGCATTTGGTCATGAAAAAAGAATGATCTTCAGGAAAAAAAAAATCAAATCACCCCCTCAGCAAAGGATTTCTACAGAGGCTGGAGCGAGCAAGAGCCAACCCTGACACTCCTGCAAGTGGCGAGGGAGTTAGGCGGACTTAGTCATCACTGACATGTCTCTTTCCTCCTCCCACATTCACTTGTATAACTGTCTTCTGGGGAGGGGTGAAGTCATTTAAGAAAAACAACAGCAGTTTGAAAAACAGAAGAGACGGGCTAAGAGATGGCTCACTGGGTAAGAACAGTTTCTGTGCAAGCATGAGGACCTGAGTTCGAATCCCAAGCATCCACACTTTAAAACAAACAGATAAACAAACAAACAACCAGCCAGCCAGGTGGTGATGGTGCACTCCTTTAATCCCAGCACTTGAGAGGCAGAGGCAGGTGGATCTGTGAATTTGAAGCCAGCCTGGTCTACAGCATGAGCTCCAGGACAGCCAGAGCTATACAGAGAAACCCTGCCTCGAAAAACAAAAAAACAAAACAAACAAATAAACAAACAAAAAAGAGCCGAGTGCGTCTGGGAAGGCTGTAATCCTATCACTGTGCCGGGTGAAACACTGCGGTTTGCTTCCAGCCTAGTCCACAGATCAGCGAGAGACCGTGTCTCGAGGAACTAAGGCATCATGACGGAGTGGACTCTCAGAGTCTTCTGTGTAAGTGCACGCTCTGCATGCACACGTGGGCGCCTGTCCCTGTGTGTACTGAAAAGACAGAAGGAAGAACGGAGAAAGGGTGGGACGGAGCTCTGGGCTGGCCAGAGAGGGCGCATTCCAGAGTCTGACAAAACTGGGTGGTCCCTTCAGCCCTGAGATTCTGGGGAATCAACAAAGGGATTAGTGAGGCCTTCAGAGATAACACTGGGTCAGCCTGCAGTGTGCAGCCTGCCCTGTGGCTCAGGAAAGCCAGCACACTGATTAATCATTACAAACAGCCACAGTCTTCAGGAAGCCCCGGATAGACCCAGGAAGATGCTGAGAAGTCAGGGTCCAGGGTACCATAAATCCTCACCTGAGACAATGGGGTGAGGCAGGGAGAGGGGTCACAGTCTCTGTCTCTTCCATCCCCTACAGCACCTGGAGGTCATTCACAGGTACAGCGAAGGTGGTAGCTGGGGTCAGCTAGGGACTTCACGGCCCCGGCTGCCTGGAGGAGGAGGAGAGGGAGAAAATGGTGGGGAGCATTTGCAAATGTTTAGAAGCCTTCCCATGTATGGGGGGGGTCTTTCTTTTCGAGTTATCTTGGAGTTTAGGAATTGACTTGAGGACCTGAATGACATTTCACATTGCAAATGGGCAGTGGTAGAGTGATTACCCAGCATGCATGGGTCTTTGTGTTTGATCT